CCTCTACAAGGCGCTCGTGGCAGTTAAGCGCATGACCAGGGTGGACGTTGCCTTTCGCAACGTGATCGAGTTTATAAATTTTGTGCTGCGCCGAGATGACTACAGGGTCATGAACGTCGTGTTGAAAGACAACAAAATCGACGTCAAGTGCTACGAACGGGTCGACATCGTGGAGAAGCAAATCTGCAAGCGGCAGTGGCGAGTCGAATTTAAAGAAAAGTATGGACCAGAACCGAGCCTGGCCGAGGAACTGTCCAGAGATCGCGACTTGAACGCTCGAGCGTTGTGTGATGCGGTGATGGATTACGAGGGAGGGCCCTCGATACTACAATTATAAAAATGATGGAATCGGACTCGCAGAAAAAAATATTGAGGAAATTCATCGAGGACTTTGTGATTGGTGAAGACATTTGGGAACACACTGCCGTCGTTTATAAACCATATCAACACCTGTACACGGGCGACGTGTTGCGATACTTGCGGATTCAAACGGCCATCCGAATGATCATGGACGACGAGCAAAAAAAACCTACGAGAGCCCTATGAGACGCTCTGTTTGAAAACATATCCACGTTCGTTCGTTTCGAGAGAATGAAGAATAAGCGTCGACGGACCGGCGCCCGCCGGACAAAGAAGACGGGTGAGGGATTTTATTCCCTGACAAAAGTCCCGGACATTAGTAGTCTACCGACAGACATGCGATTGGAAATTGAAAAGTCCTTTACTCCTAATCCGAAATTGAAGACTCAGCTAAATAACCTTCTTCTGAGAAAGGCGATCGTACAATACTGTAAGCAGCGTCAGTACGACATATCGCAGTACCCGACAAACGTTCTGGCCAAACGCTACAAGTTTAGAGAGATACCCCGCGACGTCCGCGAACACTTTGAAAAGGGAGTCGTCACCCACAACTCTGTCACCAAGCACCCGCTTTCGACAACGTTTCGCGAAAACGCCATCGCCGTCAAGGTCTCTTCTTACGTGAACAAACTCAAGAACAAAGAGCGTCTTCCGACGCGCGTTCCAGAAAATGTCGAGGCTCTGTTGAGAGGCATGGCTTTTAACGAGTAAATAAAAATGGTCAAATGTTCCAAGTGCGGTTTCTCGAAACGAACCGCCAGAACAAAGTGTTCGAGATGCAACAGGAACGGTCGTAGACTCGATACGAGAAAGCCGTATCGCCTCGAACATTTCACCAAGGAAGATCAAAGGCGCATTCTCGGCTCCATGCGGGTTAAACGAGGACAGAGTCCAACCTACCTGAAACTTTTATTGGAAAAACTAATTCAGGCCTTTGCTCGCAAACACCGACTGCCGGCGTCATGTCCGATCAATCGAGCCAGGCACGCGCTGATAACTCACGCGATCCTCGACAAGATTCGACCATCGAGTCAAAGAACGAGGAGGAGTCGTAGCAAGAGCGTCGCGCGGCGGAGGACTAGGAGCAGGAGCGGAAGCGTCGCGCGGCGGAGGAGCAGGAGCGGAAACGTCGCGCGGCGGAGGAGTAGGAGTAGGAGCGTTCTCTCCTCGGGTCGAAGAAGAGGAAGGAAGAGGAGTCGCAGCGTCGGCAACAGGAGGAGCCGTAGCATTTCCATCAACCGAGGCCGACTCGGTCGCAGCGTCAGTGTCGGTAGGCGAACAATGTCCGGAAACGCCAGCAGCGACTCCAAGTACATGTATCCCGTGTAATAAAAAAATGTATCAACTGCGCGTGGATTATTCTTTCGACCGACTCCCGCCGAGCCTGCTCAGGTTTCTCACGAGCGCTCACGAGGGGTTGCGGTCGGACAAGAACCGTCTCATAAAGCGTGCCAACGACGTGATCAGAGACTTTCAGGTCTTTAAGATGCACAAGCGCAGCGCCCCAATTTTCGTCAATCAATTTCCAGTTCACGTGTTGAATGACATGTACTCGATAGTGCCCGTGCGTAACAAGAAGGGCGACGTCATGTGCGGAAGGGAGTACGCCGAAACGGCCAAGGCTATTCGATCTAACTCGTTCTATCCCGTGTTTAAAGCGAGAAGCGACGGCGCAGCCCTGTTGGAAACCAAAGTCGGTAGGACCACCGGAGATAATCATTCGCCCTACGTTTCGGGAGTCTTGGTGGACGTAAACATTGACAAGATATCTAGCAAGTTTCACGACGTGGTCACCAGCCGCTCGATCAAGGTGGGGCAGTGAATCGACGTGATTCGCGACCCACCGCCGTCCTTTCTGGAAACCATAGTCGTGGCCTACGAGATGGTCGAGCTAGGCGAGTTGTATAGGACAATAAACGGCGACTTTACAAACTTGCCCACGCACGACACGTATTATTCCGACAACATCGTGCACCGAGAGTCTGGTGCAAAGTTTCGTCCAAACGCGCGCGACAACGTGCGAAAGGAATTCAAGTATCGCGTTTCCAATCGCCCCAACTACAAGATCGTGGACGACTCGGAAAAGAGACCGCTGGGTCCGTCCACGGATAGCTTCTTCCATTCGACCGGCGGAGGCCGCTACAAATCGACTCTGCGTACCAGACGGACGGTGTACGAGACAAATAATAATAATAATAATAATGAGCCCAAGTTTCACGGAAATTCGGACGACGACTACGCTGAGCGCAACGTGGATAGCGACGACGACGCTGAAGACGGTGACGACGGTGACGACGACGTCAGTGACAAGATCAGGCGCTACAAGTACAAGAGATACTACACCGAAAGCGATCACATTATGCGAGCTTTGCGCAACGTCTAGTACGTGTCTTTTTTGAAATAAACAAACAATCATTCGAGAGGCTTTATTTTTCTACATACACAAAACGTACGTATATATACGCGCGCCTGCCGAAGCGCGTCGACAAACGTAGAACATGACCGGAGTAGCATCCAGCGTGCCCAAAGTGTTTCGCGAGGCCACCAAGTTTGATCAATCGCGAACCTTCGACTGGAGCAGAGTAGTGGCCAACGTTTATTCGGAAGACTCAAATGAGGAAGAGTTTGAACGAGAGAGGGTCGTCCTGTTCTCCGAAATTTGTAAACTTTCTCATGTGTCCGCGAACGCTCTGACCGTTTTGGACCTTGTCGACTATCCGACCTTGGAGGACGCACAATTGTTGTACATTGTTTGTACGTATACGCACCTCAAGACCATACTCCTGAGGAACGCCCCCCTATTGTCAAACTCTGCTCTACAATACTTGGCGACCTACGCTCAATCTCTCGAACATCTTCAAATCAGCAACAACGGTGGCCGTATCAGGAACGAGGGATTGATTCATCTGGCTCCTTTGCGTCGACTCAAGAGTTTGTGTCTGACTGGAATAAGAAACGCCAGTCGAGCTGTCCTTCGAGTGATATTGCAGAACAACGAATCAATATACGCTATCTTGGTGATAACGACGGAACTCTTCGCCTCTAAAGATAACGTGACGCACTTTGTCTTTTGCGCTTCGAATCAGTTGAGTCAGGAAATGTACGATTTTGTTTTTTGTAGCGAAACGTTATCTCCGTTTTCAGATAGCGAGTGAGGGTATATATATATATATGTACTCGCACGTACTACGCTTACAGCAAAGCTAACCCTACCCTCTCCCCCGACATCACGACACGACACGACTACTACCCTATAACCCAAAGCGACAATGGCTCGACTAGACAGGTCCCCATCTCTCCCGCTGGCCGACACCTGCGTACAAGTGTTCGCTCAGTCCAGAGTGTCAAGCGCGGTGGATTGGAAAACAGTGGTGCTTAGTATATACCACGAAAAAGAGGGCTACGCTTGGGACAACGTGGAAGGGCAAATTCACTGTGCGTATACCGAAATTTCAATATTAAGAAGCTTTCCTACGCACATCACATTCTTGGAGTTGGTGCACTATCCAATGCTGCGAGACCGCCACGTCAGTGATTTGGTTCGTTTCTACCCGAACATCAAGACTTTGCTCCTACGTCACGCACCCGGCTTGACCAACGACTCTGTAAAGTGCTTAGCGGACGGTCTACCTAATTTGACTCACTTGCAGATTGATCGTGCCTAGACCTAGACGACGAAGCCTTGATATATCTCGCAGAAAAGAGGATCATCGACGTTGGCATACGGAGCCTCTGCATGACCGGACTCGGATTTATACGCCGAGAAACGCTTCACCAATTTCTCAACGTGCATCGAAGACTGACTACTCACCGCTAGAGACGTCCCCAACAAGGACGTCTACCTTGGTGAATACACTTTGTGTATTTCTAGCACAGTGTCTCCGTCACTAAGAAACATTGCGCCAACCGACCTAGACGTTATCGAAGGTGTGGACGGTGTTGTGGGTGACATCGAGTACCAAGACCTCGACAGTGACGACGGTGACGGTGACGACGGCTACAGTGACGACTACGACAGTGACGCCGACGAATATCTCGAATCGGACGACGACAGAATGCTGGGTCCGATCGTCCTAAACACCTTCAACTACGACGAAGGAGAAGACTCAATGGGCGAAGAAGACGACTGAGTTATGCTTGAAAATAAATATTTCGCGTGCTTATATTTTTGAGTCACGAATCGTTCTTTTGCATGCACACTACACTAGTGCCAGTACAAATAGTTTATTTAATGAATTCGATACATTCCACTCACTGCAGATTTACAAAGGCAACACACAGATTGCTCTCTCGAATTGTAAATCATTGGAAATAGACAATTTAAACATAAGGCGGCGTGGGCACAGGGCAAAGTAACTATACACACCGGACAGTTCATGCAGACGACGCAAATCGTCGTGGACGGATCGGACCGCTTCATGGAGATGCTCGTCTTGTCGATGCGCGTGGGATACGGACGTCCTACGCTCAGCGCCGAAAAAGAATCGCTGTTTTCGAGAAAGGACTTTAGCTTGTTCGGACAGGAAAGATCAAACTTGGAAGTGGCCAATGCTGTTATAAAGTCTAGGCTGTATTTGTTTGAGACAAACTCAATGTCCTTGGTATATTCTAGCAACCAAAATAAATCGCTATTTCTATACACGTCGGACACCTCCTTGATGTAGGTTACGCTCGCGCACAATCGAAGATAGGGGCAGCGAGGGTTGTACTTGGCGTGTTCCTCGACTGGGTCGTCGTAGTCGGCTTCCCACGAAAGCAACCGAAGTCCGCAACAAAAGCATTCCACGGTCCGATCGGTCAGGTAATAAAATCCCGCAGATGCCATGTAATCCACGTCAAAGACGTCTTCTTCTTTCGGCCGAGCGTCGAAGGAGGCGAACCTCGCAGTGTAAGTCTGAAACTCGGGCCTAAAGGCAAGCGCTCGTTCGGTCACCACCGCCGAGACGTCTGGACTCAGCGTGCGTAGCGGTGCGTCACAGTCGGATTCGTGCAGTCCTTGGGGAAGTGTTTCGTCCGAGGCCACGATAGTAGAGAGTTGAGTCTTTTGCTGGCACATCGAGCAGCTGAGAATCCGCTTCTCCGGATCGTAGGCGAGTCCTGCCATGGCAAAGTCCTTGGGTGTGAGGGTACTGTTGCGCAAAGGCCACGTCGCAAAAGTTTTAAAGTCGGACATCACCTTGGCCACAGTCGGGTCGTGGTCGAACAGTCTCCAGTAGAAAGACATGTTCTTAAGCAAAGTAGACTCTAGAAATAAAGTCGATTTTGAGTCTACGGGCCTTGCAATGTTTGAATAATATGGTGCAGTCGAAACACGACACGCAGTGTCCGCACGGCAAGTAGGCAATGTTAGCCGGAGCCTTCATGCATACGATGCACCTCTTAGTTGATTCGTCTCGTGACTTTATAGCGGAATAGTGCGTATCACAGATCGCGCTATCTATCACAAAGTTACCCCACCTACCGATAGCCTTGTGATCGAACGAAGGAAGGGCGTTCACTGGCTCAAACAGAGTGTGACTGCCCAACGGAGTCGCCTTGCTGCTCCGAATGGCACTCACCATCGCCGATACGTTCAAGGGATGCGTCAGGTTGGCCGTGTACAGAGTACTCATAGTCCTGTTGCGGAACTTTGGGTCCTTGACGAGATCGTCGATCTCGGGAAAGTGAGACGCCCAGTACATCTCGCTCCTGTAAAACTTTTCGACTGCATCGTGCACGTAGTAATAGGTCTTGTTCACTCGTAGAAACACGCAATTGGGGGACCTGCGGGCGTGTAGCAGCCACGGATCGTCTTCTTCGCAGTCGAGGATCGAAAATACTTGCACCCCGCAGTAGAAACAAACGAATATGCGGGTCACTATCTGTTCGCGGGAGAGGTAGCCCTGCTCGTCGTCGTGCGAGCAGAAAAAGCCGGCCTTGGCGAACGCAGGGCCTCGAACATCGTGAAAGGTCTTGGCTCGAATCTTCTCGTCGACGTATCTCTTGTAGACCGGGTGAGAGTAGCTCGGCAAGACGGACACGACCCTTGCTACGTTCAGCCGCGGGTCCCTGTACTGCTCGAGAAACTTGCACGGCATTCGGCGGTGAAGGTCCATCGGGTGAAACGTGAGCGTCTCCCAGTCCTGTTCGGCGACTTGAAATTTGCAGTGCCGACAGTAGATGTGTTTCCGGTCAGCGCAATATTCTAGGCCGGCATAGGCAAAGTCTCGAGGCGTGGATCTGGTGCAAAGTCGCCATTCGGCGAACGTCTTGAAGCGACGCACGACTTCCTTGCTTATGGGATCCGTAACGAGGTGCGCCATAGCGACGATAATGAGAGGAGCCCTCTACTCGGTGCGCAATATATATTCTCTCCATATCTAGGTTGACCTCGACTGGGAGCGGAGTCGACCTCCCATAGGCGGTAGCAATTTTGTTTATTATAAAAATGTCTGTCGCAGAAAATTTTTTAGACCTGTTGAAAAAGGGACGATGTCAACACTCGGTGAATCACGAAGACGCCACCGATATTTTATTACCCGTATTCCGGCAGCGGGAAAATCAAAACGTGTCTTACAGGAGAGATGGCGATAAATACGTGCCCACGCTCCCGAACGACACGTCGACCTTACTCGGCTACTCGTCCAAGAAACTCATGCAGCACATTACCAAGGCGCGCACGACGCTCCTGACCAACGGAGATGTGGAACCGGTTGCAGATATGCTCTTTCGCGTTTTCGAGCTCGGTAGTAACATACTGATGACGGTCGACATGGATCAGATGGCCATCCAAACGCTCCTGAATGACAATACAGTATTTCACTGCGTAATGGGAATCGAATACGTACGAAACAGTCTCAACATACTTAGGAAAACCTCTTCCTCGTCGACCACTCAGCGCGTCATCAGGGATCTGAAGCCGTACGTGGACGCGTACGCTACTGCCATTTTGCGCCTGCTACTCCTCTACATCGAAGAGATATTTTCCCATGCGCGCGAGGCGACTCGCGGTATGGCGGTGGGCGCAAGGACGGCAGCCAAGATTACGGCGGTCATGCTAGTATCCCTGTGCAACTACGCGGCGGTGCGCGTAAAGTGCAACCCCATCTTTCAGTTTGAGAGCGCCATGGGCCACAACTGGCTCGACGTGGCCAACGGTCTCAGCCTCGTGCACAGGATCACGCAGCCACACACCGTCAACGAAAACATTGTCGGGGCCATTCGCGTAAAGTTTTCGCAAAACAACAAGCCACAGGACGTCATCAACCTCCTGGTCGAAGAGAGCAACAGGTTGTACACGAGTAACGTCGAGAACGGAGTGTCCCGCTGCGACACCGACTACATGACGCTCCGGACCGTCATGCCGGCCGAGCGGGTCACGGACGACGTCAACATCATCGATCCGGCCGTCTCTACGACGCTGCGTGACCACAACGAGCTCATCATGAAGAGTTCCGACACGATCCCCGTGCCGCGTACCAACCACTACGTGCTAGCCCTGCAGAAGGAGAAGGCGCCGGCCACCGAGGTGTCGGTCCTTAACATCGCCTCCATCATAGAAGAGTGCACGAGCAACGGGCGCGTGGACTCTCGCTTCGTCGAAGTGCACAAACAGTCGGACCAGGGCACGCAGGAGCTCAACAAATTTTACAGCCAGGCCTGTTGCGTCTCGCCCCGTAACCTCGGTCTGTTTCTACAGTGCCTAAACTTTGAGATGATGGACTCGGACATGTTTGGGGCCACCTTACAGTGCCTCAAGATGACCAAGGGCATACCCACTCCGCGCCAGGAAGAAATTGCCACCTACTCAAACACGGCGCTATTTCGGATGGCCACCAACCTGTTTTATCACACGCGTTTCTGCAGGAGCTACCGCGGCGAAAACACCTACCTGTACGACTCGCGCTTGTTTAACGACTTTCTACTCTGGGTCCAGTCGCCCAACTGTCTGGAACACCACATCTCGCCTAGCGTGTCGTCGTCCATCATCTCGTGGTGCACGTCCATGTCTACTGCCATGCACACTACGCGCGACGCCAACGGAGCGAAGTGCGCCATGGCGGCCATATCCACGTGCGAGGTGGACCAACGCGTACTAGCCGACTTTTTGAACATGTTCATCAAGCTCTTTATCGAGGACGAGACCGAGATTAGCGTCATCAACAAGAAATTTCTCGAGAAGGAACTACTCGAGGCTTTTGCCTCCGTGTCTAATTGCTACAACCTGTTTAGGGGGCAGTTTGTTTCGGCGACGGCCTTGCGCCTCTTCCTAGCCCGTTGTAGGTGGTCCGTGGCCGACGACGTGGAAGTCATCGTTCCGGTCGAAACAAAGTTTCTCAACAGACTGATATGCGACAGCGACGACCTGTTGTCCAACTCGATGCGAGACAAGCTCCGTAAAACCATGGAAGACGTCTCCACGATGATGGCGCCGCTGCTCTCCAATCCATCCACGTCCGCGCCTCACAGCAAGGACGACGACAGCAACGCGCCCATATGCATTTGAAATAAAAAACCGCCAACGCCCCCATATACATTAACAAAAAGGTTCGGTGACTGATTTGAACGATCGAGGGAGTAATATGTTGAAACAGGTCACGTTCGTCGATATCTTTTCGCAACAAAAAATGAGGACCCTGCGAGACTATCTCCATTGCGAACTGGACCTTTCGGTATCGATACCCTATAAAATCTGGATCGCTATCGCAAATTTCTTTATTCAAAACAACGTCCCATCGGTCGTAGAGGGAGCAGAGTGTTGTCAGAAAGACAGCTCGTCGTCCCACTATCTACTCGTCTTTTCATACAGGGACAAGGACGCCAACCGAGTGGTGGTGGACTGCATAAACTTCATCAACGTGCTGCGCGATCTCAAGGTGCACGACGTGATATGCACCAAGCACTACGTCTACCTCTACGTCCGTCACTCGTCGGCGCATCACAACGTGCATGCAATTCTACCCTTTCTCCACCACGTTCTGCAAAGCTATGTAAACGACAAGACGACCACTTTGCCACTGGATTACACTTTCGATCCCCTGGAAGAACAAGAATCCTTCTTCGACGTGATTCCAGTCACGTACCACGGCACCTACGAGGTGACCACCTCTCTACCGGCGCTCGTGGCCAAAATCAAACCCAAGGAAGACGGACAGTATGTGTCAGATCGCCTTTATTGCGAGAAGCATTGGATGTGTCTACACAATCTGGTCGTCTTGAGGCTCGTCGACTGTTTCTACTACATCACTATACAGAAATTGCAGATATTAAAAGATGTTACAAAGTCAAACATTACGTCCACCAACGACTATGGCATTTACAAAGTGTCGTATTACAAGAAGTGACTCGCTTTCGCTTGTGTTTGTCTGCTTTGCCTAAAATAAACGCTTACGCTAGCTTGCACGCTGCTATACATCTGTGTCTCTATGTGTGTGCGTCTGTGTGTGTGTGTGTCCAAACAAACGTTCTTTTATTCACAACATGTCGTTGTAAATGGCGTCGAAACTAGGAAATCGAAGGTTGCTCAGTCGCCGCTTGTTCTTCTTATAGGCCCGTCTGATGAGGCTAGTGGTGAACGTGCGAGACCAGTCGCTGCTCTGTCTAAAGATGCACAAGACGCGTCGTAGATCCATCGTCTTGATGCAGGGACACAGACAGCGGGTCTCGTACCACTTGTAGACGGCAGCAAGGGCTTCCACGTCCGACCAATTGTCGTAGTCGTCATCAAACTCCATAGCACCCATCATGTAGAGCGCCGAAAGCGCCTTGATGGCGCTGGAAACCGCAAGGTGTTCGCCGCTAGATTCGATAACGTAAGCTCGTATGTCCACCGCAGATTCCAACGCGTCGCTGGCCTTTAGGGCCCTTATGACGCTCGCAACGTCGGCGAGACTCACGCGGCACGCCTTGTTCTGCCCCATGGTCGTGATCGGTCGCGTGACGAAAGCGTTTGTTGTCGCGTCCCTCTCTACCACGCGGTCTTCGTACACAAACTCTACGGGCTTTACGTACCACGCTAGCCGGTCCTGCTGCGTGGTGTAGAGCGCGGTGTACTGAAGCAGCTTCAGGTATTTCGTGACAATCTCCTCTACTTTCTGCCGACACTCGTTCGCCTTGGGCCAGTCCTTGGACATTGCGGCCGCTCGCCTCCGCGTAGTGGACCCTTCCATAGGTGCCGCGGCATCGACCGCCGCCAGTAAAATGTCAAAGAAGCTAGTCTCCTTCGTTGCGGCGTTCATCATTGCG